ATGTCTTACGACTGGACCCATCCATCGGGGGCCGGTGATCGATTCGACATTGTGCCGAGTTCTGAATGCCTTGAAGATACGACCTGGTTGGATGTCAGCAACGAGGTGTTGAAGGATTTGGAAGAGATTTGGAGATCTGAATACAGTCTTTAACCGTGAAGCGAAACGCAACGTAGAAGCGAAACGCTGGTTATTCCGCACCATATAATTGTCTGTTGACCCCAAATTTTTGTGAGGGAGCGGTCTACCATTAGAAATGACTTAGTCCAAAAGGAATTAAATCAAGGCCCTTCGTGGAACCCGTAGCGCACACCTTTGTATGGCCATTTATTTCGCATATTTTGTTTAATATACTTGACATCTAAACGCAGCAATCCTCGGGCTGAAACTCGCTACCAGATGCACCACTTGGGGTTTTCAAGGTCAGAGAGTAATAATATGAACACCCCGGAGGTCGCAACTCCGAGGCCGAGGAGCCTTGGATTATTTTCGAGTGTTTCGCTTCTACGTAATTTAGCCATAAATGGAAGTCCAGAAAGATTGTACCTGTTCTCGTTTGAAACTGCAGATATTAACATAAACCTTTATATGGCCAGGTAGTCCAGATGCCATACTATTTAACTATGAAAAGGACTAAGGAGACTTCCTAAAAATCCGGCCCAGAAATCGCAGGTTCGCTTGAGCGTTTCGCTTCACGGTTAAAGACTGTACCGCGGTGTACTTCAAGTGCCTAAAGTTTATTCGTGATCGGGATTGGCGGCTTCGTAATGTAAACACCTAGAATATCAAATGACCTGCAATTGCATGGTAAATCGAGTAGAATTCACCAATCCTCCTCTCACTCAGGGAGAAACTTAGGCTACAGTACGACATTTATTGCTTGAATGCGAAAGGTCCCACCAGTCGCGGTGTGGCGTTTTAGTGAAAGTTGAATAGATACAAGGGCCGATGGCCACAGGAAAGCGGAGAACAAACTAGCCCAGGATTGCCTTCCCTGCAGGTCCAAGCGGTGGGGAGTAGGCACTTGCAATCAGGTAATCTGAAGATGACGGGAATTCGCCGTTGAATTGTTCTTCCTATTCTTAGTAATGGGAGACGGGCTGAAGTTCACGCATTGCGGGTTCCAGTTTCAGTTGAAGTATAGATTTAAAAATAAAAATAAAAAATAGCTTGCAAGGAGACGTCAGAATGTGAAGCTCTCGCCAATTAACCGTTCTGTGAGGGCCCATAACCTCTCGGCATTTCCCTACAAAATTGTCAGTACTACATGGAAGGCGAAACCAAGGAACTCACGGAGTCGGAAGCGTGCGGGGCAATGGTGTCATTGGCCTCGACGCAATCATCAAGGTAGGCGCCGGGCTTGTCTATTTGGTGTCAGACAAAATTCAAAAGTACGTCAGGGAAGGTGCACTAACCGTTCAGACTGGAATCAAATGCTGCCGCCACAGTACTCAAGGTATGCACATTGGTACTAGCAAGATGTATTGAGGAGCATGCTCACGTTGCTGCCCCTTGAGGAATCGTCTTCCAAGGGTGTTTTTTATCGCTGGGCCGTCCATCCTCGTCGAGGATTTCTGCGAGTCGAGCCATGAAATAAGTTTTATCCGTGTTCAAACAAAGGCTTGCCGACGTACCCATTTTTTTCAGTGAATCGACTATATCCCCTCTCTGCATGTTGTTCGTCATAATGACTGCAATCCAAACCAGAAGTATAAGTGTCCCCTGAATTTCGGGAATTACCAGTCGTACCTCCAGGGTGCAGACTGTATGCATTGATCTGTCCTTTGGAGTGTTTCGATAGTTCCATCGCGGTAAGGATGTTAGCGACCTTCGTCCGGAAATAGTTGTCCAGGGGCTCGTAGCCATCCGGATCTGGTCGCTCCAATTTGCTGAAGTTCACCCCATCGCAGAATATATGACCCTTGGCTGATACAAATACTACACGAGGGGTGTAGCCTGTCGTTCGTGCAGCAAGAAGTTTTGAGGAGAGCAGCTTGGTCAGAAGGAACGGCCCTAGGTGGTTCGTAGCAAATTGGCTCTCGAAATTATCTACAGTGAGCTTGAACTCCCCGATGACTGCGGCCGCATTGTGGATCAAGACCTATTTGACGCGTTATAAGACGCTCGGCAAACCAAAATTTAAACATACGTGCAGCGGCTCTGGGAATGCGTTAACTTCCGCGGAGGCCTTGCGCACGGCAGCGAGCGACGAGAGATCGAGAATGAGCGGCCGGATATTGGCAGACGGAACTTCGCTCTTGATGGTATCCTCGGCGATTTTAAGTCTGTACACTCATCGGCATTGAGCAAATACCCTGGAAGCAGAAAAAGTTTCAACCTCTCCGAGTTGTGACCAGTTATAATCATAAGGCTCGCATGCTTTGCCAGCACGCGAGCGGTCTCGAAGCCGATACCACTCACAGATGTACCGGTTATCAGAACTAAGCAGAGTTCAGAGCTATCCAAGGACATGCCCGTGGTTTGGAATTGCTTACTATTTTTCCCTTGAATCTCCTTGGCAAAAACAGTAGCGACTTCTTGCGCGGTAGTGGTGAATGAGAAGGTGGGTTGAGACATGATGAAGGGTACGAATACGCACGATCGACTTTCACAAGTTGGCGCCTTTTAAAAAGGAGTATTGATATTAGCAAACATATATGATTCAGTGCCTCACGATGCCGGGCCATTCGTCAGCGCCGGCTTGCTTGCTTCGCGGGTCCGCACCTGACTCGAGGCTTGACATTCCACGGATAGGTGGCCCACCATTCGTCATCAACGAAGAGTAAGAATGAAGTCAGGTGGGGACGCGTGGCTCATTAGTAATTACGCAATGAGACGTAACGACGGTCGTGGGTTCGAATCCCACGCAACCGCAGAAAAGTATAACGGCCATCTAATTTCGGCACGCAACGACTGGTGAAAGCAGGTCACCTTGGAATGCTTCTGCAGACTGAGGATCACTACACCAAAGAGTTGAGGGTTCAAATTAGTCTCTTTTACTGACTTCCCACTCGCAACCTCGTTCTGAAGTCTGTTGGTTACCGCGTGTTGATTACCGTTACCGCCCCTTATTATGTAATCTATCCGTTTTGGGAACACACGTGCTACCATCATAAGAGACACATGTGCAAACAATTCATTTATCTGGACGCGCCATCACGCGTTCAACGCGTTTTCTGCAAATTCGGGGGGCGCAATAGCACGGTATCGTGTTTAGGATCCATCTACTGTTGCTTTTCCGCTGGAATACTGCAGAACAATCACAGTAGGTATGATTCAATGCCGTATGACTCGAAATCGCGATCACTGACTCGTCCCAGCCAATATTTAAGCCGCCATCCTGAAATAGTTTCATATACAATGGAATTCCATCACCTCGACCCAGACGACTTCTATTCTAAGCCATCTCCCCGTCCTAAAAGTTCACGGCCTCCGCCTCAAACTCCCGCAATCCCTCCAGCGGTTCAAATCCCTCCAGCGGCTTATGGTCGCCATTGCGAATTTTTTCCTCCCTCTTCCTTAATTCGAAGTTACGCGACAGTTATGGTGTGAGTTTTTCCCGCGTCAGAGCTTCTCGAATTGACCTTTGACATACCTTATAACGCCTCCGTGGTCTGCGGTAAGACACTCCCGATTTATTAGCAGAATGGAATGTGAGGAGTCGGAGAGTCGAGGGTTTGAATCCCTCCGGAGGCGCTGAAAATGCCGGTTTCTTGCTCCTTTTTGTGTGAATCTTTGGCGCCATCTTGAATTTCTATGCTGCGCATCCGAAGATCATGTCCAAATCCCAAAGACCTGTGATCGAGTGCTAACCTTCACAGCAATAAAGCCTCCGCAGTCTAGTCAAGACACCTTGTTGTACAGTCCATCATACGTTGCATTGGAGGGAGTTGAGGGTTCGAATCCCTCCGGAGGCATATTCGGGCCTGTTGGTTTTTTTTCTCCCTTGAAGTTCTTCCTTCTCACCTGTAATTCGAAGTAGACTTCGAGTCCAAGGTCCGAGTGTCTCGAATGTGTGGCATTCCTTATAATGCCTCCGTGGTCTGCGTAATCCCGATTTATTAATGGAGTGGAATGTGAGAATTTGGGAGGGTTGAAGGTTCGATTCCCTCCGGAGGCATATGGCATTATATGGGTTCTTTTATTTTATTTCTGCCCTCTCCTTTTTGGTGTGATTCATTTGTGATGGAGTACTAACCTTCACAGCAATCAAGTCTCTGTGAGACACTCCTGATATATGGCACGACAAGTCGGATTAATGGGGGAGTCGAGGGTTCGAATCCCTCCAGAGGCATAGAGGAGAGGGGTCAACATGTATACTATGGTGCGGTACACAACAACGAAGTGTCTTACCACTCGACCACGGTGTCAGCACAGGGCCTCACTGCAGGGGTAGCTGCGACGTGGGCGACTGGGCGATACAAAAAGAAAGGTAAAACGCGGTAGATTGAGCTCTGGAGAATAGACTAGAATAGTGTAAAGAGCCTAACTACCTATCCTAGGGTTATATACTGCAAGTCGTAGTAATGACTACCGGTCACCAAGGAGTCCGTTGGAAATAACGGCCGCATCGTTGAAATACGATCGCGGTTGAAATGCGATCGGGTTGAAATACGATCGAGGTTGCAAATGATCGAGGTGAAATAACCCGATCAGGGACGAGGGCGATCGAGGGGTTTTGGAGCATGGTGTCGGATGAGAAACGGACGGGGTAGAGGAAGGGAATCAATAGGTGCATCCCGAGGTATAACCCGGTGAGTGTCTGCGTAGTCGCCGGGTTATTGGCATGAATTTGGGGTGTGAGAAAAGAGTGTGAGAAACGAGCAAATCATGACACACGGAGGCATTCTCATTTGGTTCTTCACACAGATTAAACCTGAGCTGGCAGACAATCATTGGTGCTATCCCAGGATTTGCTATTTGGCAACCGTAACTTATCCTGGGATGCAAATCCCAAAAAAACGGATAAAAAGAGGAAAAACTCGTAATTCACAATGTCATGCCTCCGGAGGGAATCGAACCCGCAACTCTTTGCAACCACTGAATTCTCATCCGATAACAGCAAAGTGTCTTACCGCTAGACTACAGAGGCGTCCTTTACACTGGCACTGGCGGCTGTACCTACAGTGTGCTTCGGATGCAAAGGGAATTAATAAGTCACAGACAAAAAGAATGAGAGAGAATAAAACAGTGTTCATTTGACAACATGCCTCCGGAGGATTCAAACCCTTGACGCTTCGCAAGAGATCATGATTATGCGTCACGATAACGAAGGGTCTTACCTCTAGACTACGGAGGCATTCCATACTTGCCTTGATACTTGCATAAAATGTTGCTGGATACCGAGTTTGTCTGTAACACAAATTGAATGGTACATTTTCTCAGATTACATACATACATTTGTATCCAATGCACAAAGGCCAGGCAAGGAGTCGGAGATAAAAAGGAAGAACGGAAAGAAGAAGAAAAAAGCAGTATTTGATAAGCTGATGCTTCCGGAGGGACTCGAACCCTCGACTCCTCAAAGATATGGCTATGTATCCACAATATTGGAGGCGCTTACCAGTGACCACGGAGGCATTGATTAGTTATAGGTTAGACTTGACTCACACCAGCTGACCGATACTGATGGAGGTCAGCCGACGGAGTGCGTCGGGATTGACGTCATGCAGAACTGCAGCTTTCTCTTCCTCCCGCTACATCGCATTTTCTTTGCTTTCGCCTACACCCTTCGACGGCCGTCACGGATCGCCCCGATAATCCAAAGTGCGCTTTTGTGCGAGCCACATGCAGACTCCCGAATCCAGAAGACGCGAAGACGCACGAATATGGATAAAGTGCTAGCCTGATCAGGCCTAAACGGAAGGAGGAATGCGCACAGAAAGGCAGAGACGAACGTTGTCGTACTGGCACATCGGTCTTCGGGCCTCGGGCCTGTATAAATGTGAATTCGGAGCGGGTGAGGTACGTTCGGGTACGTTCGGTATATCCGAGGAGCAAGAATTCGAATTAATGAGACGCAGGTATTCCGACACCAGGCGCAATCCAAGGGACGCGCGTCGACTTATATGCGTTGCGCCGACGCCATCCTTGACTCGGAGCGCCGTGGAGGCGACCTTCTTTTGCAATAGACTTCAAGCGTGTCGAACGTGGGTTAACGTCCTTCTCTGGTGCAGAGGCTCTCCATATCCATTCCCGCCACAGCCTTTGGTAACCGATTCTGTGACTCGGCTCTCTGACTCGTCTCGTCTCTTCTCTTCCCTTTCCCTCCAATGGACTCAGGACTGCGCCCTCAATGGAATGTAAAAGGGACACGTTCGTGATGCGGATCGATCTCGCCCTGGCGCCGGCACCCCTCAGTCACGCCGCGTGATGCTGCCTGCTTCCGTGGTTATCATTAATATCAAGTGAAGCCAAAAACGAACGTGCGGGGGTCCCGATTGCGCGATAAAAGTAGCAAGTTGAGCTTGATATAGGAGCCCCTGCGATGCTCGACGTCGCTGTGCCCTTCGACGCCGCCGCCGCTATCGCCATGACCAACACCAGCACGCACACCGCGCCCGGCCTCCTCGACAAGCTCTCTTTTGGTGTCGGTGTCGGTTCCCCCCTCGCCTTCCTCGCACCCCTCGCCGCACTGTGCACCCTCTCCTCCCTCGCGTCCCTTTTCTCTCTCGCCCCAATCTTCCTCCCCGCGCTCCTCGTCTTCTGCGCGCTCTACCCCTTACTGAGCCACCCCTTCCCCAGTGCGCGGGGATCCTCACGGGCGTCGTGTCGGGTCTCATGACGTGCGCTGCGCTGCCGTTCGTGCTGGACTATGCTAGTTTCCATTTCGGGTTAATTGAAGGGGAACAGGAGGGAAGGAAGGGCTGGGGCGTAGGGATGGTGCAGCCGAGGGTGGAGGCGGCGGTTGCTGTTAATCGGGTCTTCCAGGCCTACCTCACGGCAGACATGCTCATCGGCTTCCTCTGTTACCGGTCACAAATCGGGTTCTTGACCGGGTGGGTGGGTGCACCACGTCGTGTACCTCGGTATCACGGAGACGGCGATTAGGAAAGGGTGGACGCATGTGTTTTGTTTGTGTGCGGTTATGGAGGTGGGTGCGGCCTATTCCTATTGTCATTCCATTCTGTTTCGCCTATGCGTACGCGTCGTCTTGGGAGGACCGGTACACGCTCGTCGTGACGCGTCGCCGTGCCCGGGCTCCGCACCCTTTTCCCGCTCTGGGCCGGGAGCGCGCACTAGCGGGCGTAACCGTTTTGATGGTGTGTTGTCTTTGGTCCGGGCTACAGCCTCGACCGTCCACATTCTGGTCAGATTCTGAGTGGAAGATTTGTAGCTTTTTGCATTATCCAGGGAATTTCCTGAGTAGAATTTTTATTTTGTCTTTCGTTCGTTCCTCGTTATTATCTTTCCACGTATCACAGTATACCACCCTGCCTGGGCAAAAGAATTCTGCTCGGGGAATTCCCTGGGTAATCAGTTCATATGGCATCTCAATTTTTGTGGAACCCATACAGTATGTGGAAGGCTGCAGGCAGGATCGATGCCGAACAAACGTTGTTTGAAACAAGGAACAAAAGGAGAGATTGACAGTGTCTAAAGTATGTTCTGGCATTGTACAACGCAATGCACGTACTGCCACAGGCTCTTGCCAGAGAATAGACAAATAGCTGGGACTTTCAATGTTAACAGACTGCATGCGCCAGTGTTGAAAGAATAATGTCGTGATTCTTGTACGAAACGTGTGTCGCCCTCCCTTCAAGTTGAGTCCCAGGCTTTCCTGATAATGCAGATTTTTCATGCACACGCACACGGCCCACTGTGCTCGTCATCGATTTTCCTATCCATGTACATTTATTTAGAGTTGGGTCTTCCGTCTATTTTCGCATTGCCGATATCGATAATATCATAACCAGTTGTTGTACACGGGTGCCAGTGGTCAGATATGCCTGCTCAGCTTTCAGCTATCAAATATGGTTGTCAGATATGGTGTCAAATATGCCAGGAGTCAAAGGTGGATGTTGAATGTTGAATGTTGAACTTGAACTTGAACGTCCCTCCATCAACCCGGATTTGGCTTCCCGGCCCTCCGAAGGACGAGGGCAAACACGGGCAATACCAGTGATAGCGCCACATAATTATCATGGCTCGCGACTCACCGTGATGATGGAGATGAATTTTGCGCCACTGCACTGCACTGCGTATTCAACTTAACACCGGTCGGCTAGGGTAACTCAGATGCCTTACCCGAAGAGGCGTATTTTTTACCTCAGTTTGGTCAACTTCGGTACGCAATTGTACCATCAATCATGATTGCCGAACTCTTTGTTCAAGTTGCCGGTTGGCTTTGTCTCGTGTCTCCCTTGTCTTCTCCCGCCATGAACTCCTCGAATCTTTTACCCGCCCCGGTCGAGAGTGTGCCCGAGGGTTACAATAGAAAGGTGTGTCTCCCTCGGAAACGTGAACTGATCAGTGATGAAGGGTGGCATCACCATTTTAGGGTGGACAGCTGTATAACAACCGTCAATACGAAGAGGCAGTGGCAATGTACGGAGCGGCAATAGTTGCATCCACGGATAATTACAATCCGTCCAAGTATTTCTCAAATATGGCTGCCGCGTTCCTGAAGCTCGGAAAGTGAGTTGATATCGCCGTCCGCGACCTCACCTTTCCCACTTATCTCTCCCTAGATTTGAACACGCAGAATTCGCGGCACGCGACGCGCTCCGCGCCGATCCGAGGGCTATCAAAGCGCGCTATCGCAGGGCGATGGCTAGGAAGGGCCTCGGCAAATTCGCGAAATCCTTGGTTGATTTGACCAGCCTACTCACGACCTCGCCTGGCCACGCGGATGGAACTGTCGCCTTTGAGGAGATATCTGGTTTGCACCGCACATCCGGAGCTCATTACCTCGACTTCGAAGAAGTGGTCGACGCCGACTTTCCGTCCGCGTTTGGATCCCCCCAGACGCTCACCGAGCCTAGCACCGTCCAATCCACCCCCGGCGCTTCCCGCCTCGGTTCACGGAGGAACGACATAGGTACATACCGACTAGGTACCTGCACGACCTGCAATATCCGGAAGAATATCAAGGAAATGAGAAAATGCCCGCAGGTCCGTACTCCGTCACTGTCAACCAAAAACGAACTATCTAGTAACTTGTTCCACTTAGTGCGGAATCATGACATACTGTGGCGCCGTCTGCCAGCGTGTCGACTGGTATGGCCTCATTCCTACTTGTCGCCCTCGACTGACTGTCCCCAGGGAAGAGCACAAAAGTACTTGTCGCCGCCCGGCAGATAAAAACTGGGCATTCCATCTGGGGCGTCGATTCGCCCGCCGCGAATACTTCTATACCCACCTCAAGCTTTATGGCGCGAGGGCTCTCGGGCTGCAGCAATACCCCACCTCCGCCTCGCCGCCCTCTCGGCTCCTGCTCGTCATGGTCGATATGGTCCCCATCTCCTCTATCGAGGAAGCAGGCAAGCGCCTTCGCGTCAAGCACCTCATCGTAGTGCCTCTCGCTGTCCTTCCAGCGGCGGTCGTTGAACCACTTCCGGACCTTATACTGGGGGCCGCCCTCAAGTCAGGCCCCGGTGACGCGCACGTTATTGTGTGCGTCAGCGCGGTGCGCGGGGAGGCTAACTTTGGCCCCGAGGTGCGCTTCCACACGCTGGTGATCCCTGTGCCACGCGCCGTTCTTCGCCCCGATTTCGAGATGTCTATTACCAGCGCATCTCGCAGAGGTGAACGCAGGATAACGTGCGACCTGGATCTGCTGTATGCGTGAGTGCCGGCCCGGTCGTTAATGCCACTCGGATGGCTGCTGATATTTCCACAGAAGTATCGAGGATGAACTTCGGATGGACGAGGCCAATTATTATGACCTTAGACTGCATCCATAATCAATGACCGTTCACGACAATCCACGCAGGCGTCTGAGAGTACATACCATTGTTTCCCGAGTCAAATAGTTGGTCCGTTCTGCATACAATTGAATTCTTCGCTTATGTATTAGTTTGAATGACTTTTAAAATCTTCGCTGAGTTCACGGTCGTTAAATGGCACGCTCCAAAACATTGTGAGCTCAATCTTCCGTGTGGCGGAGCGGCCTATATAATTTTACTAGCGCTCACACTATAGCGTTACCTCAGCAAGTGTGTGGGAGAATCCAGAGAATCAGTCGGAGTCAAGGAATCTTACGATGGATCCCGCCAGAGCACTGGAACCAGCTAGCCCGAATTCTTTGCCGGCTATCCAACAATCCCGCGTCGATATATGTATCCGTCGTTCCTTTAT